TTTTTTTTTTTAATCTATAGATGTGAAACGTTTTTATTAAAAGTTTTTCATAATATTTTAGTCGTTCTCAAAATAAAAAAATTTAATTGATAGATGTCTTTTAATTTCAGTATCATAGAAAAACTGTGTATTTTCCGCTTTCTGCTCTTGGTTGATTTTAATTGTCAATTGTTTTGAAAAATAGTCGTTATTTATCACCATTTTATATTTATTCAATTAAAATTCTGTGGAATAAAACAAAATTTTCCAAACTGTAAAATATTCTGAAACAAAAATATAATTCTCAGCAGTATATCTGTACTGTCATACAATACTTACAGTTGATCTTTGACCCGTCTTTCAGACTTATTTATTAAATTTATATTATGTCTTACATGACGGCGCTACAAGGTTTCTTAAAATATTTCTGTCAGTGTCCGGAATGTTTATTTTGAATGTCAGTGTTTGAGTCTTGAGTATTCCAAATAATAATTCTGAAAATAGCCGACTAGACGTCTGGAAATTATATTATTTTTATTACTTAATTGCCTATTATTAAAAAAAATTATTCAAAACACATGCATAAAGTTGTGTAAAAGCGCTTAGCAGACATAACATTTATTTTTTATTGTTTCAATTTATGACCGCGAAATTATTTATTTTTTTTAATTTTAGGAACTCGGTGTTGATTGAAGAATTTTCAACATCACCTGTATAGTTTTAACGTGAATAAAAAACTACTTGGTTAATTTTATAAAATTTTTACTTAATAGGTTCAAAATATATCAAAATATTTTATTTATTTTTCTTGATAAAAATCTTAAATAAATCCTTGACATCCTTGACATCCTTGACCTTTGGTACTGTTTTTGTCAAGATAAAATTTTCTTATCGACTGGAGTAGATGTCACTACTTACTGGAGGCGTTTTTGATGATGAAAATATATTTAAAAATTCGAACACTAGATGGCAATAAAAACATTTTAACAATGGCAGTAACAATGTGTGTGACATGGTATATAATAATAACTGAGGTTTTACACTTATAAATGATATAATTTGTTGTTTTTAATTAAAAGTTTAGTTTTTTACTGATTAATTTTTATTTTAATTAATTTGTTGATCGATTTACTTTTTAATATTTAACAACAATGGCTGATTTATTTGATTTGGCAAATTTGATAACCAACGTTGGTGTTGATGCTGTTAAAATAAAACAAGAGCCTGACATGCCAGAAAAATCGTCAAATCAAATACTTACCGAGCTGTTTAGCACGTTTGATGTTGATGAGGGTATCGAATCGCCGGTAAATGACGAGGAGGATGATGATGATAGCAATGACGGTGATGACACCACGGATAAAGTCAAAAAGAAGAAGAAAAAGAGTAAGAAAAAACATAAACATAAGGATAAAAAACACAAAAAGCGTAGTAGAAAAAATTCATCAGACAGTGGTAGCGAATGCGAAGTCGATGGTATGTTGATATTTTTTTAGATTCCTTATTTTTTGAGTGATTTGTTAATGTAGATGAATTATTTTAGGTGTCAAGAAAAAAAAGAAGCACAAGAAAAAGTTGAAGCGAAAAAAATCAACAGATTTAAGCGACTCGTCGAATTCAGACGAGCCTAAAGTTAAGATAAAAAAAGAGTTACTTTCACCGGAAAATACTAGAAAAAATAAAATTGACCGAGCCCTCAATTTTAAAATTGATCATCCTCAAACAGTATTTGACTTAGTGTCTAATGTTGTGTCTAAAAAGGAACAAAGCGACAAAGAGTTGAATGATGGTAAATTAAGTGCTTTAAAAAGTCCAGAATTACCACCTTTTTCTAAAAAAGTTGATGATGAATCCGAGCCTGTAGCTCCAAGATTACTGGGTAAATTTTTTTTAATGATTTAAATTTATAATTGTCAACTATCTGAAATTTTAGCAAGTAAATATTATCGTAAATGAATTATTAGTCGTGATTTATTGCAAGAATGTTATTAACATTTGAGGAGCTGATTTTTAAAAGAGTATCTTTTCATATTTTAAAATACCAGTTTTCTGAACTGTTAAATACTAATTACTTCGAGAATTATGAACATTTATAAACGAAAATCGAATTGCAGCTTCATAACCGATTGCACTTTATAGCTAAATTAAAAAAAGTTCAATACAAATATTTATAATTGAAGATAACTAGTTTTTTGTCTCGATGAATCAAAAATCAAAAGATACCCTTTTGAAAATAAGCTCTTCATTTGCTTGTTATGTCTTAGAACATAATGTTTTAAAATACAGTAGAACCTCGTTAAGTCGAACCTCGATAAGTCGAAAACCTCCTAAACTCGAAGAAATGTTTCATCCTATTCCCTCCAAGCCCCAAAACTTCCGTTGCTTGAAATTTTTACCCTCTATAAGTCGAAATAATTAGTGAGACTCTACAAGCTGTTTCTGTATATATTTTCCCTCCATAACTCGAAAAATTAAATTTTACCTCTGTATCTCGAACATAGTAATGTTTTATTTTACAACCTTTACAACTCGATTATTTGAGACCTTTAAGATGACTCGAATAATACTACATGCGCTCCATGGGTTTTTTTATCAACGAGACAAGAACCGCATTGAATATTTTACGAATTTTTATAGAGCAAACCAGCAACTCTGAAGAACAAGAATTTTATATTTTTTATACCTTGGACAATTCTATAGATAGAAAACAACCGAATTATCTAAAACAAAAAAAAATACTGACTTTTTAATGCCATATTTTTTTATTTTAATAAAATCTCTCTTTTATTTCAATAAACTCTCGCTTCGAGTTCGAGTTATAGAGGCTCTACTGTATTTATAGTGAACACTCAATTGATTGTTAAAAATTTTAGCTTATTGTCAAAGAAAAATGTTTATTAATACTTATAAATTGTTTCTGATTCCAGAAAAAACAGACCAACCTACCAAAGGAAAAATACTAATAAAAGATCTAAAAAATAGTTTAATATACAACGAAACGGTGAAAGAAGTTGAGAATAAAAAAAAAGAAAAGGCTGCGCGTATGGAGGATGGCGAAATATCAGACAGTAATTCAGAGAATCGAACTCCAACATTGAGTCCATCGCCACAACCACAAGATTCTTTTGATTCAATAGATGATACAGTTGCGCGATCTAGCCATCAAGTTAAGGATCTTAGATTAGTATTAAAACACAAGGAAAAAATTAAAAAGTCGCGTGATCGTAAAGGAAGTCGAGAAGACCGTGAGTCCCGATCACATAATGACGAGACGAAGGACCGAGGAAGAAGTCACCATCACGACCGCAAAGACAAACATCGAAGTACCAGTAGTCACTCGAAAGACAGGAAATCAGAGTCTACGCACTCACACTCGCGTAGACGCAGCAGGAGTCGAGGATGGGAACATCACAGGACTAGGAGTAATGAGCGCAGGTATAGAGACAGAAGCACTGATAGAAGGTCGACTCGTAGTCGAGAAAGAAGTCGATACTCCAATGGACGATGCAGGAGTGAAGATAAAGGATGGGATAGATCTTTTAGAGGTCGCAGTCGCAGTAAAGAGAGAAAGTTCGTTCTTGGATTTTTATTTTTTTTAATAATTTGCTGGTGATCTTTAAAAATATTTATGGTTGTTTTATTTTTATTTTTAAATAGGGAAAGGATAGAAATTGATAAAAAGAAATTATTAGAAATTGCGAGGAAAAATGCTATTAATATGATCAAGCGAGGAGCATTGCCGTTAGCACAACAGGATAAAGCAATAGCTGCTATTCAAGCTGGTGGAAAATCTGTTGATGAACTCATTGGTTATTATTGTTATTAATATTTAAATTCTCGTCCGTATTTAAAATATTTAAATAACTTAATCTTGGGAATTTGGACAATAAATGAAGATGTTAAATTATAAGAATTGCAACATTTCGCTGATTTATTTCAGCTTCATCAGGCAAACTTATGATTAGCATTCTCGTTTAGTTTTTACAAAGTCAATAGATGTAATAGAGTAAAACACCATATTCATAATCTCAAACATTTTTTTTTATATTACAATATTAACAATCTTTCTTTTAGACTGACAATTTTTTATTGATATATAAATATAATTAACATAGTTATTACAATATTTATGATTTCTGACCATTGGTCTCTACTCACATTCAATATATATATATATATAGTTTTTGTATATGTTTTATATATTTTATGAAAAATAACATACAAGATATTTATTATTTTTAGGAAAAAAGTTTATAAAAACCTAATTAGATTTAGGATATTAACAACTTGCTTAGATTTCTCTTAAATACCATTCAAATTAATAAATTAATAAGATAAAATAAAATTCAACAACGTCTATCTGTCAAGTGTGTTTACGACTCTATTACATCTATTGACTGTAAAAACTAGATGAGGATGCTAACCATAAGATTTGCCTGATGAAGCTGAAATAGATCAGCGAAACGTTGCAATTCTTAAAATTTAACATCTTCATTTATTGTCCAAATTCCCAAGATTAAGTTATTTAAATTATTATTATTATTATTTTTTTTTTTTTTGTAATTATTTGTCATTTATAAAATTAATTTTGTTTTACATAGATTTTTGCAAATCGCTCTCGAAATCAGAAGCTCTTGGTGAACTATCAAGTGTTTCGTCAGACGAAGGAGCAAGTGAGACAGAGAAAGGTTTTCATCATCCATTTTTACTAAAAGAAAGACCTAATTCTATAATAATGAATATCAGAGACTCAAAACAACTTCCTACGAAAACTTTTCAAGAGCGAACAACGGAATCGTCTACTCAATTGCGATTACAATTCCCAGTATCGAGTGGTCAGCAGCACAGAAAAACTGGTAACTACTATTGATTATTTATTATTATTGAATTACTATTTTTACTGACTCGTAATAATCACCTAAAATTTTTATTTTATTTAAAAACAGAAAATGAGTGGATAGACGTAACACCAGTGCCGCCGGTTAAAAAACCCGAGCCTAAGAAGCCTTTCGTATCGGCCTCTGTACAAGTACAAACTCCAGCGTTTACCATAATACCTCCGATTAATACACAACTACCGGCAGCAAATGCTCAAGCTCTAGTTCCAGTTTCACTTCCAGCGCCAACGCCAGTTCCAGCTCCAGTTCAAACTGTTACTACGGCTCCTGCTGTTGCTGTTGCTCCGATTCCAACGCCAGTTCCTCCAGTTGCCATGATACCCGCACCCGTTGAAATGCCGACAATTGCACAACCGATGCTTCAAGCACCCGCTAATTCTGTCTTTCCTCAACCTCCAGCTGAAGTAAATCTACAATCATATAATATACTATAATGATAATAATATTGTTGAGGTTTTTATTAATCGATAATATTTTCTTACAGAATATTGATATAGGAACAATTGTTTCTCAACGATTAGCGGCGATGAGAAAGCTCAAAGAAAATCCAAATGATGTCCAAGCGTTAAATGAAATTTATCAAGCTCAAAATGAAGTAAATTTTATAATTTAAATACAAGTTTAAAATTAAAAAAAAAAATGTATTAATTAATCGGTTTAATTATTTAGATGAAAACATGGGCAGAAAGTAAACAGATGCCAGGTCAGTTTACTGGTAGCACTGGAGTAAAAGTTCTCTCAGCAGCAGAATTAACTTCAGGCTATCAAACTTGGGCTCGCAAGGTAATATTCTACGTTCTCTTGACCTCTAGTAATGTATTATTACTTTTTTCTTCTATTTTAAATAATTATAAAAATATATATATATATATATATATATATATATAAAATACAAGAAAGAAAAACAATCGATAAGGGTTCGAGTAATTGCATTGTACCTAAAAAAAACTCGCGGTTTGTAACAAGTTTTCAGGTACAGTCTTTTCCTGAGGACTGTGTTGTAGGCATGGACCACTTCTCTTTGGTAAAGTAGAGGTGGACTCTGTGCCTACACGGACACAGGAGTACCGTTGTCTTATTTTTAAATAAATATTTTTATTACTTATTTAACTAAACTGAACCTCAATTCAACTTAGCTTATCATTTATCACTGGATTATTTACATAAATCTGTATTTAGTATCTCTACTAGTTTTATTGTATAATTCTTAATACGGGATAATTATGACAATAAAACTAGTAGTCAAGGTAGTAAAACTCAAGACAACGAGCTCTTGTGAGATTACTGCTAACTATCATCAGCTTCTCGACTTAGACCACCACCGAGACACTTAACCGTCTTATCGTGGCGGCTGTGATACTTAGCAGTTGTCTGCATCCACCTGAGGGTTTGTTACAGGCGCTAAATAGCAGAGACGAGTCATCATCCGCAGCCTGATGTGTCCAATTTATGATTAACAATTAAAAACACTTGGTAAGTATTATCCTCTGACAACCATTTTAGACATAACAAAATAAAAAAAAAAAATGTCTAAACCCCTTTTTTCCTTAACATCAAATTCTATTATTTTAGATATTTTTAAATTAAAAATTAACTTATTTGTACTTACAGTTTGACCAAGTGTAGATTTTTAATTATTATTTTATATTTAGTATGTATGATGATGGTTCCATACATTGAAAAAAAAATTGACTTGAATCAAGAGAAAAATTCTTGAACCAAAAAAATAATTTTGAAGTGTTTTATTGTCTTGAATCAAATAAAATTTACTTAAACCAAAAAAACATTTCTTAGTTTAAGAATTTTTGTACTCAAATCAAGAAGATGAAGTTCTTCAAAATTACTTACTTCATTCAAGTAAATTTTCTTTTCTCTGTACTAAATGAACTTTTACGCTTTGAACTTTACTGATAAATTATAATGTTAAATAATCTAAAATTAAAATTTTAATATTTCATGAAATCGATCATCTAAGTATCTATGTGATATTGTCAAAAATACGGGTATAATTATTTTTGAGCTTCTACAGCAAAAAAAAAAAAAAAAAAAAAAAAAACATTAAAGTAATAGCAATAATAATAACCGAAATAAACTAAAATTTATTTTCAATTTAGGATCAATTGACCTCCGCGACACCCGTGTCGGGTGGCATGGGTATGGCATTGCTACAAAAAATGGGCTGGCGACCTGGTGAAGGCTTAGGAAAGAACAAAGAAGGTACACTGGAGCCTTTGCAATTAGAAATTAAGCTCGATAAACGCGGGCTCGTTTCTCATCAAGACGTTGGCGTCAGAACGGGAAAAAATCCAGGGAAACCTGTCGTACCAACTATTAAAACCCTAGAAGGTATATTTAAATAAATAAATAAATCAATTATTTAAATTTATAAAATTGCTGGTGACACAGCACTTGAGTGAATAATTTATTGATTGAGAATTCATGAAATATTGTTATTATTAGGTAAACATCCTGTTTCATTGCTTGGTGAATACTGCTCAAAGAGGAAATTTGGTGCGCCAGTTTACGAGCTCTGCTTTGAATGTGGACCCGACCACAAGAAAAATTTCTTGTTCAAGGTGAGTTGGCTAACGATAACGATAATTAAACTATCTCGTAAATAATATTTTTATTATTTATTTATATTTTATTAATGCAAAAAATATAATACCGGTGTTTTAGGTCAAAGTGAACGGTATTGAATATAAGCCTAGTGTAGCAAGTCCGAATAAGAAACAAGCCAAGGCCGAAGCTGCACAAATTTGCCTTCAAACACTTGGCTTACTCCCCACTTAATACAACAATGTGTATATTTTCTTGTACAATAAAATTTTCGCACCAACAAAAAAAAATTTTTTTCCTTTATTTTAAATTGTAAATTATTATTATATTGCTATTTTTTCCTTTTTTATGTAATGCTGTTTTGTGGTAATGCATTATAAATTATATTTTAGGTCAATTAAACTGATATTAAAAAGCAGCCGGCCGACAAGAGTGTTGTTATTGTTCGCTTATGAGTTCACCTCAACTGTGTGTGCCCCATCGAATTACACGTTAAAGTCTGTAATTTGAGCACTATTTTACCTGGGCGAGTACAGTAATCAGAAAAAAGGTGTTGGCCTGCTGGTACCGGGGGTTAGTTTATAAAGAGTAAGCGGTTCCAAGCCTAGATGAAGAATTTATCAGTCAATAACCCTTTTTATGTTACAAATTATACCGGCAATTTTTTCGTATAATACGATGTAATGTATATTTTTATAAATTACAAATACTTTTTATATATATAATATATTACTGACAGTATCTTTGCTGTCTGTCGATGTGATACTTTGAAAGAGCTTGGGTATTTTTGAAATAAATTAAAAAAATAATAGTGCTATGACAGGACTAATTACTAAGAATTAAATGGACAAATATTGCGGAACAAATTTATAGAACCAATAAAGTATTCAAAACTCCTCCAAAAATTTAACATAAAAAATTGACGTATCACTGAAAAATATATAAAACCGTGAAAAAGGCACAAATTCTTGTCAAGATCCTTCTGATGATAACAAATTTAATTTTGAAAATTCCGTTTAAAATAATATGCTCTTTACAAAATTTTCCTTACTCTCTCAATTATTTAAATCATAAATACCTACACGGAAAAAAGAAAAAGAGAAAAATTACATTATATAATATGAAAATTAATTTAACAGATATTTGATAACTTAAAAAATTTTTTTAAGTTAACAAATAAATTATAGCAAAAAAAAAAGTAGAAAAAAAAATTGACATGTAGAAATTTTAAAAAATAAAAAATGCAATTTTTTAAAAATAATTTTTTGGAAAAAATCTATTTGTTAAAAAAAAATTAAAAAATGATTAAGTGACAGCTAACTTTAATGTCATTTATATAATGTAACGTAGCGTTTCATATAAAAAATTGGAAAAATTACAGTTTCAGATTGTAATTGTTACAGATTTTGTAAGAATTACATTGTTTAAATGTAAATATTACATTAAAAGCTCTAAAAATTAACATTCAAAGATTGAATTTATAAAAATGTTTTTTCAAATTGCAATTTTTCTAGTTTTTTTTATATGAAGCGACGCTTATTACTATTTATAATGTAATTTTTACATTTTTCTTTTTTGCGTGTATCACTGAAAAAATATCAAAACTAATTTATGATAAAGATATACCTATTAATTTTTGACCTATAACAACATTTACATGTACAAAAAAAATAAATAAATTTTGTTTATCACGAAATTCGAATCTATTTATTGCTTTGAAAACTTATCATAATAAATTAACTATTACTGAAAAGCATATGACACATTAAAAAGGCATAAATTCAGCTCAAGATCTTTCCAATGATACTAAGTTTAATTAAAAAAACTCATTTTATCATATAATTACGTCAGAAACAAAATTTTCCTTATTCTCTTAATGATATAGATTATTATAATTAGTAATGATAAAAAAATGATATTTTGTTATAGGTGTATGCACGTGATGATAATGAAGAAGATGAAGAGTATATATGGGTATGACAGCAGTAAAATCAAGCGTAGTTTAATTTTAAATAATGTTTCATGTGATATGAGCTTTTTAAATGAACCTTTAAGTCATTCGTAAATTTACGACTGTTTTAATCTCGCGTTTGAATGGTGAACTGCATTTACTTTGACGCCTGTTGACTGCATCCAGACACTGGTGTGTTAAATGAAGCAGACGCGATTATACATTTCCTTTTATTTTATGGGACACCTATGACGTGCATTACTAATGATTAATACGGACGGTGTCAAGGTGAATTTGTCAATTGTTGCAAATTTATATTAACATCTTACATTTCAACTGTCAATTTAAAATTCCCTAATCTAATTTATCGAGTATTTTTATTATTGGCAGCTAATAAGACAGTTTATTTATATCATTGCGACGTTTTTTTCTTTTTTTTTTTTATAAATAAAAATATCGGTTAAATACTTGTCAAACAGCAAGCCAAGTAATTGCTAGAATGTTTCATTAATTGTAATCTATTAATAACTATCTACCAACAGATATTTATAAGCGAAATTATTATGCATGTATGACAAAGCAAATTGTGTAAATAGAAAAAAATTAAATAAGTAAATAAGAGTATTTCCGTCATCTCCGTAATAAAACGCTAAAAGAAGAAAGAATTGTACGCGAAGAAATTGAACGGTTTAGTTAATACGCAAGACGATGCATAAGTTGGCATGGAATTAAAGTTATCGTCTCAATTGGCGATTATGACCTCGTAAATTAATTTAAAGATCCAGCCATATCGTATCATTTTTATACTATACCAGGTCGATCATCTCTTATTTGAATGCCAGGCAACACTCGAGTCTACGCAAATTCTTAACGCATTAGACAACGCAACGCCAATCATAATTGAAAACACTTATAACAAAATTTATATGAATACGCGTTGCGGTGTAAGTGTGATCTGATGATATGAGAATGTCGACTTATTACGTCTGTGCCTATAAATATATACTGTGTTAATTATCAATTTGTGAGAATGTGCTAAGAAAATAAATAAAATAGTTGAAAAAAAAAATTTGAAAAGAAAAAAAAGCTTTAATTAAATACGAATGTAGGCGTATGGATGTCGTAGCAAATTAGTGTAGAGTAGGAGATAAGGAAATGGACCTTTCACGTGGCTATCAATTCCGGACACGTCAATGCTCATCACGGCCTTGACTTAAAAACCCTGAAATAGTTATGTGTTTCTTAACGGAATTTTTTCTCATCTAACACGGATCATTTTTATTCAATTGGATCCTAGATCGTTAAAATATTTTTATGTACATAATACACTTTCAAAATTTATACTTGTTTGTGTTAATAAACTGAAAAAAAAAAAAAAAAAAAATACTTCTACTCAATTAATAATTTCTTGGTTCAAGAAACTCGCTGACGATTAAGTATTCTATTATTATTAATTATTAATCTTTAATTTCTGAAGAGAAGAACATCAATATTTATCTTTGGATAATAGATAAACAAAAGAATAGCTTTATTTAAATTAAGTAAAAATTATTTCAATTAATTTAACAATTTCTTGAGCTAAGAATATTTCGGCTGCCCAATTTTAAAACACAGTAATTGCAAAATTTTTATACCTGATTTTTTTTTTAGTATTGCTGCATTTTTTATAACTTTTAAACCTTAATTTAAAGTATTTTTTCTTAAAAATATTTATATTTGAGTAGTTTCAATTCATAAATTAAATTTGTCATTAATTTGGCGGGCAAACTTTTTTTTAATAAGAAAAATTAAAAACAAATTTTAAATATTAGTTACTGTGTTTTGAAATTAGGCAGCCGATATATTCTTGAAAATTTTCAAGAACATAAATTCTTGTATCAAGAAAATTTTCTTAATAAAAGTATTTTTTTTCTCAGTGT